AAGGGTGGAAGGACGGTCCATTCCTTTTTCCTGTCCCAAAGCTTTGGCCTTTGGTCACCACCTGGAACATCTCCCTGCCTAACTGGTCATTAGAATGATAATGGGGACTCCATAGGAAGAGGGTGCTCTAGGCTAGGATCCTAAGTGGTGGCTATGGATAGGGTGTGAGTGGGAATTAGGGCAGAGCCATTGTGGGATTGGGGGGGTGCTCAGTAATGAGGGTGTCTCTTGCTCCCCCTAACCTATCTCCCAGATGAGAAGGGCTGCAAGGACCAGGATTTCCCACCAGACCCAGAAGGGCTGAGGTGACCTGGTTTCAAAGGGAACTGTGCCTCACACTTCCAAAATACTTCCAGGAGGGGGCTCTTTTGGAGGTAAAGCCATGAGACTGGGATGCCCATGCCAGACCTTCCCTGTGCTCTAGGCACTCTCTGCTTCTCTCCAACCTCACCACCCTATGCCTCTTCCCGCCAGCCTGCCATTACTGTCCACCAGGCTGCCAATAGCAGTCTCATACCCCCCCAAACTCCACACCACTAACCACAGGGGCTTTGAAAATTTGAATACCAGATTGCATCACGCCCTGTTGCAAACCTTCTTAAGGCTCTCCAGTATTCAGAGAATATTCAAACTTCTCATCATGCCTACACGCCCCCTAATTATGTCTCCAACCTCATTGCTTCCTTTCCCCTTGTTCACTGTCTTCTACTCCCACCCACCCCACAGAGCCCCATCATTTTCAATTGGCATTTGAGGTGCCCCATTGTCCCCCATGCCAGATGAAGCCATAGCTTGTTTCTGGAACATTTATCTCCCCATGCCTGGTATGTGCAGGGTGTTTAGGCTGAATCTGGATAGCAGCTAGAATCTGGACATCAGACAGTATCTGCCTTGAGAAGAGAAGCTGATTGGACAGTGGGCAGAAATGGGCAGACAAGGGTCTGTGGAATGAATCTGGTTTATCTTGAGGTCCACAGACCTGCTTGGGGTCCCTTGTCACACAAGATGACTCAGAACAAGGTGTGAGACAGCCAGCTGCCAGCTCCAGACCCCTGAAAAGTGGCCCACGTGTTCAAAAATCGCATTAGCCTTGGCTTAGGCAGTGACTTCCCTCCCCAGGCCTGTCTCCTTGTCTGGACAAGGTGATAATAGCAGGTGGAGCACGGGGTGGGGGGGGGAATGTAAGAGGTGAGGTGGGCAAAGCAGGTTGGGGGCTCCAGGGTATCTGAGAAATGGAAAGGGGAGGTGGGCCCTGATGAGGGTAAGGGGAGAGCGAGTAGCAGTGCTGATGAATAATGCCTGAGGGGTGGGCTCGCTGCGGATACATTTTCCCTGGCAATGCAGCTTCAGAGGCATGGGAAGCGGCAGGCTCTTCCCCCAGTGAAATGGGGTGGGCCTCGGATTCCCCTGGCCCCATCCTGGCCATGTTCCTTCCCCCATTACCCCTCTCAGCCATGCTCCTGCCCCCAGGCCACACCCCTGCCATGGAGTCCTGGATGTCCCTATCCCTGCTGACCTGAGAAAACGCCGCTCCTCGGGCGCCTCAGTCGGGTCCCGGCCAGCAGCGCCAATCATGGCTGCGGTGAGCCGGAGCTTGCAGCCTGGCCCGCGTACACCGTCTTTTAAGTGTGTCCCTGACCAGGCCCCGCCCCCTCCCACCCGCCAATCAGGAGGCGCAGTGAAGGTGCTTCCTGTGGGCGCCGAAGGACTTAACCCTTTTGTGCTGGGAGCACAGCAACGCAGGGTGGCAAGGACACCCAGAGACGCCCATACTGGCAAGGAAACGAAGTCTGGAGGGGCAGACGTGGGTCGTGATGGGTAGGTCACACCTGCTATGGGATCCTGGCCTGTGAGTAAAGGGACGCCTCTGCCGCCTGCCCCTGCCACCCCACATTGCTCTGCAGGCCCCTATCCATCCAAGTGCTCTAGTGAAGCCTGGAGGCGTGGGCTGAGGTCAAGCAGGGTTTCAACACAGGTAGAACAGTCAAGGTATATTTGGGAGTCCAGGCTGGTAGTGGATCCATGGGTAGCCTATGGGTGTTTTTTGAGGTCACCAAGCTTGGCGTTTTCTGCTGAATTTCCAGGTGTAGTCCCCGAGTTCTCACACTGCATTTGACCCAATGGTGCTCCCCCTCCCCAGTCACTCAGTCCCTGGGACACAGAGAGGCAGATATCCAGAGCATTTATTCTGTCCATGGGGAGTCCTATGGCAGAGAGGCAGCCCCTACGTGTACCAGATGAAGCCATAGGTGGCATTGACAATCTCCTCATTCGTGCGCAGTCCATACAGCTCACCCATTATCGGGGTCACCCAGCGCATTGTGTGGAACACAGACTCACCCACCTGTGGGGAAAACAGGTACAGGTTGGGGTGCTGGCCACTGTGTCAGAAGCTGCTGCCTTCCTCGCCTCACTGCCAGCACCCACTACCTTTCTTGGCCCCAGGTTTTCTGTGGAAGGCTGTACTTCTGCAGTGGCCTAGACCCCTGCCTTCCCTGAATGGGACCCACCTTCCAGTCGGGCACATCCTTCATGATGATGGCCTCCTCCTCCAGGTTCTCCCGAAGCATCTGCAGGACCCTGCAAGATTGGAGTAGGAGGTGAGGGACAGGCCTCAGTACCCCAATGGACCCCTGCCTAATACACCTACCAGACCCCACCCTGCTCCACTCCCTCACTCCCAACCACTTCCAACCCTGCATATACTGACCCCTCTTTCCTTTCCTCTTCCAGGCAAACTCATACTATCCTCCTGTCCCAGCCCCAACACCCACTCTTGCAGAAAGCCTTCCCGTTCTCTCCCTGTTGGGTCTCCACTTTGTCTAGAGCCATCTCCAAGGGTGACAGCAGTCTGTGTGCGCAAGGATGCAGCTGCCAGTCCCCATGTGCATTTTGGCTGTGGCCACCAACTGCAAACTTGGAAACTCAGGCCTGTGACCTCCTGGCCCTGGTGACCCCACCTCCGGTCCTTCTCTGCCTGCAACAGTGGCATCAGTGCAATGCGGGCCTCCAAGTCCTCGATCTGCAGGCGCCTGTGAAACCCCAAAAACAATACTTGGGTCAGATTAGGGTTGGCAGGGTGGGGGGTGGACAATGTGGCTCCTGGACATTCAGGGTGATGCATGGGGAAGGTAGTTGGGGGAGAGGCAAGCAAGCAGGACAGAACTTGGGCACTAGGCTCTGTTCACCACGAGCCCAAGATGGGGGAACCCAGCTGGAACAGGCATTGGTCCACAAGACTGCTGGCTTCACACTCTTTTTTCAATTAAAAACTTTTTTTTTTTAATCCTAAAAATAGTCCAGACCTGTGACTGCAGTGAAAGAGAGGAAGTGTTCATCAAGGGGCTCTGGGCCTTACAAAACCATGTCCCCTTCATCTCAAAATCACCTCGAGGTGTTCCTTTCTTCTCCCTGCTCTTCAGCATCTTCCAAGACACAGCCCTGTCTGTGCTAGAGGGGTGGGGGAAGCGGAGCCATGTTGTGGTCCTGGGAGTGGCCTCTGGCTCTGTCCCCTCATCATCAGAAATCTTACTGAGGCACAAGGAAGGAGTAGATGAACTTCAACCCCTCTCCCAGCCCCAGGAGAGACTGAAGGGGTGCCTGGTAAACACCTGGAGGCGAGCTCCTTGCTTACTAATCAATCATTAAGGGTAAAACCCAAAATGGAATTGCTGGATCTCCAAGGCCTGTGGTTGACAAGGGTCCCCAATGTACAGCACATCCACAGGCATGTGCCCACCCTCACCTGCATGGGGCCTACCTGCGTTCTCGATTCCACTTCATCATGCTCCAGTACCCAAAGAGCAAGGTCCCAATGCCCACAGCGAACATGCTATAGCCTGTGGGAAGAGGAGTACCAGCTCAGCATCTGCATGCAGAACAGGCCATCCTAGTCATTTCTTCTCATGAAGCATATCTACTCACTGTACAAATAACCCCAGAAATGTAGATGATAGAGAAGGTGAGAGCACCCTGACACCCTCCCAAAGATAGCTCACATTTCTTCAGACTATTTTTTTGTCTCTGTGGAATGTCTGCTGGCCCCTTCCTTGGAGACCCCCTCTTCCACAGCTGTGGACCACTGTCTATCACGTTTGTCTGCTCTGCAGGCAGGGGACACCAGAGAAGCCTCAGCTTCTCTCTCATAGGCAAGGCTGTGGCAGCAGCAACCTCTGCCCCAATGCTGGGGTTTCTGGAAGGTAAAGATTGGGAAGAGACTGCAGGAGGACTCAAGGGGCTAGATGTTTATGGTTGGGTGGCCCTGGCACCACAACTTTCCAGGAGGTTGTCTGGTTCTCAGCCAGCCAGCCAGCTCCTCAAAGGCTGGTGTTCATGGTTGGGTTCCAGCTCCATGGTAGCTCCCAGCTGCCTAGGCCACCTCCTTGCATGCTGCCCACAGTGGTCTGGACAAGGCTGTCAGAGACAGGTAGTGCCCTTCAGGGACTGCCATGCCCCCCTGGCCTCCTGGGTGCTGATCCTGGCCTAGTAGGGCAGACACCCACCCCCTGCCCAAACCCCAGGGAACAGGCTGCCATGAATATGTACTGAGCTCTAGCAGGCATCCACTGTAATCCTGACTTGATAGGTTGTGGGACCACTGGGGTCTTCAGGGAGGCCCAGACACCTGGGGCCTGGCTGGCTCTGCACCCCTTCATCTTTCAGAGCATGATCTCTTCTCTGGCCAGGCCTCCAAGTTGCTGTGACAAATGGACAAGCTCAACCAGGTCAAGCTCCAGTCAACAACCAGTAAAGGACTGGTAAACAATGGGTGATGCAACTCCCTGGGCCTCATGGGGAAAAAGTGGGGGTTCTTTATTTTTCAGCTCAGCTCAGATGCAAGGCTCATCAGGCACCTCTGATGGACCTGGAGATAAATGAGAAACTGGCTCTATATTTCCGCCCCCTTAGTGTAACTTGTTAAAAACACCAGCTCAGGTCAGCAAGGGCACTCTAGTTTCTACACTGAGAGGCAGGACCCCTCCTAGTGCACACATTCTTTGCAACAGCTGCAGAGAGGCCCAAAGGCCTCCCCTCCTGACCCCACCCCAGGGGATAGACCTACACTGTCCTTGTGAAAATCCTTTGCCATCACACCAGGCACCCAAGTATGGGCCCATCTATAAGATAAATTCCAGGACTAAGAAGGCCTTTATGATGCTTTAACTCATCTCTTCCTCATTAAGGGCTGCAAGGCCCAGACCCCAGGCCCTGGGCGGGTGATGTCTGTGCATCTGGAGCTGCCAGTATGGTGGGGGAGGCCAAAGAGTGGCATGCCCAGAAGGGTGTGTGGACCATGGGTAAACAAGACCTAAATAAATGGAAACGCATCCTGTGTTCATGGATCAGAACTTAATTTAACATTTTGTTCAGATGGCAGCACTCTCCACGATGAGGTAGATTCAATGTCGTCCTTATCAGAATTGAAACCCATTCCCCACAATATGACAGAAATTGACTCGCAGATCGTGAAATTCATATGGAAATGCAAGGGACCAGAATAGCCAAAACAATTCTGAAAAAGAACAAAGTATTCGGACTGACACTTCACAATTTCAAAATTTATCACACAGCTGTGTACCGAACAGCGTGACACTGGCATAAGGACAGACATGTACATCAATGGAACAGAGCTGAGAGTACAGAAATAAACCCTCACATTTATGGTCAACTGAATTTGTACAAGGGTGCCAAAACAACTCAATAGGGAAAGAATAGTCTTTTCAGCAAATCTGACAACTGGATAGCCACGTGCAAAAGAATAGTGTGCTCCTTCCTACTCCCATCCACAAAAATTAACTCAAAATGGATCAAAGAAATCAGTGTAAAAGCTAAAACTATAAAACTCTTAGAAAACAGAGGAGTCAGTCTCTGTGACCTTGGATGAGACAATCGTTTCTTAGATAAGACAGTAGAAGCACAAGAGACAAAAAAAAACCCTGATGAATTGGACTTCACTGAAATTTAAAACTTTTGTGCTGCAATGATACTATCAAAGAGCTGAAAAAGCAACCCACAGAATGGGAGAACATATTTGCAAATCATATATCTGATAAAGGAATGGTATCTAAAATATATAAAGAACTATTAAATCTTAACAATAAAAAGATGAACAACCCACCCAGCCGGCGTGGCTCAACAGTTGAGCATCGACCTATGATCCAGGAGATCTGGTTTGATTCCTGGTCAGGGTACATGCCCAGGTTTCGGGCTCCATCCTCAGTAGGGGGCATGCAGGAGGCAGCCAATCAGTGACTCTCTCATCACTGATGTTTCTGTCTCTCTTAAAAAATATTAGTAATAATAATGAGCCCAATTTAAAAATGTGTAAATGATTTAAAAAGACATTGCTCCAAGAGAGCTATACAAATGGCCAATAAACGCAAGAAAGATGCTCAACACTATTAGTCACCAAGGAAATACAAATTAAAAACACAATGAGATACCACCTCATACCCACTAGGATAGTGAGACTCAAAAAAATAAAAAATAGCCCAGCCGGGCATGGCTCAGCGGTTGAACGTCGACCTGGGGTCCAGGCGATCAGGGTTCGATTCCCGGTCAGGGCACATGCCCAGGTTGCGGGCTCGATCAATGACTCTCTCATCATTGATGTTTCTGTCTCTCTCTCTCTCCCTCTCCTTTCCTCTCTCTGAAATCAATAAAGATATATTTAAAAAATAATAATAATAAAATAAAATTCTTTCTTTAAAAAAAAATTTTTTTTAAATAAAAAATAGTTGTCCAGATGTGATGAAATTTGAACTCCCATATACTACAGATGGGAACATAAAATGGTATAGCCAATGTGGAAAACAGTTTGGTAGTTCCTCAAAATGTTAAATGTGGAGTTACCATGACCTAGCAATTACGCTCCTAGGTGAAATTTTACCTAAGAGAAATGAAACATATGCCACATAGACACTTGTAGATACATACATGTTCATAGCAACACTGTTCACAAGAGGGGCAAGGTAGAAACAACTCAAGTGTCCATCAAGTGGGAAATGGATACACAAAATGTGGTCCATCCATACAAGATTATTAGTCAGCCATAAAAAGGAATGAAGCACTGCCCTAGCCGGTTTGTCTCTGCGGCCAGAGCATTGGCCCTTGGAATGAAGGGTCCTGGGTTTGATTCCAGCCAAGGGCAAGTACCTCCGTTGCAGGCTCGATCCCCAGCTCAATCCCCAGCCCTGTTCGGGGCACCTGTGGGAAGCAACCCATGTGTATCTCTCACACAGATGTTTCTCTCTCTCTTTCTCTCTCTCTCTCCCCTTTCCATTCTCTCTGAAAAGCAATGGAAAAAATGTCTTCAGGTGAAGATTAAAAAAAAAGGAATGAAGCACTGACACATGCTACATGAACATCAAACACACCATGCTGAAAGAAACCAGACACAAAAGGATACATTGTGAATGATTCCATTAATATGAAATGTCCAGAGGAGGCAAATCCATAAAGACAGAAAGCAGATTAGTGGTTGTTAAGGGCTGGGGGAAGAATGAGTGAATGCTAGTGGCTATGGGGTTTCTTTTGGGTGTGATGAAAGTGTTGTAAATTTAGACCATGGTGATGTTTGCACAACTGCAAATAGACTATAAATCACTGATCTGTACACACAAAATGGGTGAAGTGTATGGTATGGAATCTCAATAAAAATGTTAAAGACCCAAGGAAAAAAGGAGCACAGGAGGGAGTAAAGAGAGGAGCTGGGTGTGAGAGGTGCGGAGATGTAGGGTAGCAGTCACTTTGGGAGCAGCAGGGATTAAAGGCAGCCTGGGCCAACTTGGCATGTTCTGGGAGGCTGGTGGTGAGTGGTCCAGGGAGAGAGGTGCCAGGCTTGGGGCCACAGTGCCTTGACAAAAGCAGGGGAGGATAAGACTGATGAGGAGGGGACTCCTGTGGACCATGGCTCAAAAGAGGCAAAGCTGAAGAGGGCCAGGAGGACAGAGGATGAGGGTGGGATGCAGGATAGAGCACAGAGCCTTGGCACTTGCTATTCCCTCCACCTGGAGAACTCCTCAGAGAGGTCACTCAGACCCTCCCTGGCTAAAGCAGGCCTTGGTTAGCCCAGGACCTACTACTACTCATCACAACAGGAAATTCAGGAGTGATATGACAGTGTTTTCCTCAAGACAGGGCCCACAGCCATGTGCACACTCAACAAATAGTTAATGAATGAATGCAGGTACATAAACAAAGACCACACCACCAGAAGAGGTATCTTCCTCACACCTCTGCAGCCAGGAAATACTGGGGTGGGTTTGTATGGGTTACAATGAGAGTCATGTAAAAAGGATGTGATTAGGAGATCCAACTCCAAGCAATGGCATTTAGTGCCCATGGGAAGTACAACTGTGTCATGAACAGGAAGAGGACCATTATAAAGGGTGTGTTTGTAATTTTAAAAAAAATTTTTTTTTAAATGCTGACTGGGGAGGGACCTAGGAGGCCCAAGGGCTGGAATCCTTCTGTAGCCTGAGGTTTGGTTACAGGTCACACAGGTGCATATGTGTTAACAGACCTCATGCATGCAGCACACCTAAGGGGTGCACTGGCCTAGGAGTTGTGTTATACCTTGAGAAAAGAAAGGAAGAGACTCAGATTCATTCAGTCTGCTCTAGGATGAGTTGAGTGCTCGTGTGGTGGCAAATTAGTCTTTAACCTGTTTTTGTATGGCCCTCGGGCTAAGAACACTTTCAGATTTGTAAACAGTTGTTAAAAAAGAAAAAGTTTGCCAACCTCTGTTCTAGGATACAAAAAAAAAAACAAGAAAGGGAGGGGAAGGACTTGATTTTCACTAAACATTGACTTTTCTACTCTATGAATTATTCTCTTTTTAACCATGCCTATGATTTGTTTTTATTATTAAAGCATAATCTGCATAGACTTTTAAATGTATTCACAATTAACTTGTTTTAAATTTCTTTGTATTTCTTTGTTAATCCTGGGTGTGAAGTATGAGCGCCTTTTACTTTATCTCTTACATTTTTCAGTGATTAACCCAGTAACGAATTTTAAAATATTACTTAAAACATTTGAAAATTTTAAGAATACATGTTCCTGGAACATCCTGCCGGGGGCGGGGGACACCAGCGAGGAACCACCACACAAAACATCTTTTAAATTCCTTAGGTGTTCGGGGTATTGGCCCCAGTTTTGCTGTGGGTGGCCCTGGCAGGTAAGGTCTCAGCCGCTATCGGCCCTCAGTTTTCCCACCGGTAGAATAGAAGCGTGGCCAGGAGTTAGGTTAAACTAACCTCAGTTTAACCTACTGTGCAATGGAAATAATTAACAGGACCGACTTCTGGGCTGTTACGATGCGAAATTAAAGGACTTAGTAATCGCTCGACAAACTGCAGCAGTTACCGTTATTGTTACCACTGAAGCTATCTGGATACCCGGACTCCGCCTCTCCACACCGCAGGTACACTGAGAACTGTTAGCCTCCCCTGCGCCCTGCCCCCGCTGCGGCGCTCAGGAGTCCCAGACCCTGACACTACCGCGCAGAAGGACACTGACCCGACAATCCCCGACGCGGAAGGTTCCGTTTGTAGTCGATGGGGCCGTAGCCCCCAGGTGGGGGCATGTCCTGCTTCACCTTCGAGGCCGCCATGTTCGAAGGACTTCGCACTTCCGGCCGTGGGCGGAAGTGACGTAGCCGGCGGCCGCAGCCAAGAAGAATGTGGCGGAAGCAGGTCTCTGGCCGGGCAGGGAAACCCAGGGCGGTGGTGTAGTGACCCCACTGCACTAGAGAACTCAGGCTGCCACGCCCGGCTGCGGCCGAGGAGTCCTAATTTCTTCTCCCAGATGGGGCGTGGCTTACTCAGTGTGGACCGTTGGAGTGGGTCGGGTCGCCTGGTTCCTTGCATCAAAGAATCTCCTGTTCTCCTTCCCTTGGGGCAATGCGCTGGGCAGTCAAGCTCCGAAAGGGGCCGGGCCACCGCGCTAAGCCCCCTTATCCATTTTCTCCCCCTCCGGGCCTGTGCGGGCAGCCCAGGCTCCACATGGTCAGGGCTTGGTACAAGCAGTTGGACGGGGTGGCTGCTGCTCAGATTTGGACTCACGAGGAGCCACCCCAACCAACCCCTGACACTGATTCCGCACCTTGGTGGTGGTCGGGAGCCCTTGGTAGTTGCCTCTCATCAGGAATTGGGCTATTCAGAGTGATTATGAGTCACAAAGCCCTAGGGCCTCCATCCTGAGGCGGGGTGACGCCCGCAGGGCCCCCACCCGGAGGTAGGGTGACGCCCGCAGTCACTTCACAAGGCAGAAATTGTTACCTGGGTAATAAAAGGCACCGCGGCGGCGGGGGCCCGGGAGTGGGCACATGGGGGTGCGGGTGTGCAGGTGCCAAGCGCCATGGGTTAGGCCCGAGATCGGAGTCCGGCCGCCCCCCCGACAGCAGCCGCCTCCTGCTCCCCGTGCGCCCCAGGCGCCACCATGTCGGGCGACAAACTCCTGAGCGAACTCGGCTATAAGCTAGGACGCACGATAGGTGAGGGCAGTTACTCCAAGGTGAAGGTGGCCACGTCCAAGAAGTACAAGGGAACGGTCGCCATCAAGGTGGTGGACCGGAGGCGCGCGCCACCTGACTTCGTCAACAAGTTCCTGCCGCGCGAGCTGTCCATCCTTCGAGGCGTGCGGCACCCGCACATTGTGCACGTCTTCGAGTTCATCGAGGTGTGCAACGGGAAGCTGTACATCGTGATGGAGGCAGCCGCCACGGATCTGCTGCAGGCCGTGCAGCGCAACGGCCGCATCCCCGGGAGTCAGGCCCGCGACCTCTTCGCACAGATCGCAGGCGCCGTGCGCTACCTGCACGACCACCACCTGGTGCACCGCGACCTCAAGTGCGAAAACGTGCTGCTGAGCCCTGACGAGCGCCGCGTCAAGCTCACCGACTTTGGCTTTGGCCGCCAGGCTCACGGCTACCCTGATCTGAGCACCACCTACTGCGGCTCAGCAGCCTATGCATCGCCGGAGGTTCTCCTGGGCATCCCCTATGACCCCAAGAAGTACGACGTGTGGAGCCTAGGCGTCGTGCTCTACGTCATGGTCACTGGGTGCATGCCCTTCGACGACTCAGACATCGCCGGCCTGCCCCGGCGCCAGAAGCGCGGCGTCCTCTACCCCGATGGCCTCGAGCTGTCCGAGCGCTGCAAGGCCCTGATCACCGAACTGCTGCAGTTCAGCCCGTCGGCCAGACCCTCGGCAGGCCAGGTAGCGCGCAATGGCTGGCTGCGCGCGGGGGACTCCGGCTAAAAGCCGGGGTTTCCCACATCCCCGCCGCCCCAAGCACTGAGTAAGCGCGGCGCACACGCGAGAGACGCGTTTCCAGAGTCCCGCGAAGCCGCCGCGCGCCAATGTGCATGCGTCCTTTCCCCTTTCCCTCTTCCTCGACGGCGGGGACAGCAGTCGCCGCTGTTTGGTATCTAGTTTCTCCTCCACGATCTGGAGAGCAGGAGAGCGCATGCGCGTCTTTGATTCCCAGCAAGAAAGCCCCCGGAGGGGGCGAGACCAGAGGATGCGGAAGCATTGCGCCTGCGCGGAATGAGCGACTGCTGTGCGGCCGGCGGAGGCTGCCCTGTGGTGCTGGCGGCGAGGGGACGCACGCAGAGTGCTTTGGTTCCCAACCCGCCGCGCAGGCTGCCGCGGGACGGCGCGCTTCGGGCGCCACCCGCGTTGTAATTTGCAATAAACTCGCTCTACCTCGCACCTGGCTCTAGCGATGGCCCCCTTTTACGGAGCGGGAAGTGGGGTCCCTCCACGGAAAGCGGGCACAGGCGCTCCGTTTTGGAGAAAGGTTTGTTCTCCAAAGGGAACAAAAATTCTCAAAAGGGAACTGGGGGGATTCGAACCTGGACATTTTAGACTACCCCGACCTGGGAAGAGTCGAAGGGGCTTTGAGGTCGTTCCCGGGGTCGTGATGGTCCTGGAAATAGAGATGTTGGGCTGGAGAGCAAAGATCCAGCACCCTTGTCATTTTTAAGGAGGGAACGGCGTGGGTGGGTGGGGAGACCCTATCAACATGTTTTACAGGTGAGGGAATTGATGCCCACACAGATGTCACCTGCCCAAGAACACAGCTGGGATTTGAACCCAGATATGATGGAAGTAGAGTGGGGTGGAGATGGAAGCTCTCCTTAGTGAGGGTAAGAGTCGGGGGGGAAAGTCAAGGGTGGGCATAAGTCCATCGGACAAGCTGATTCGTTCAGTCCTCTCTTCATTCATGCATTTATTGAACTCCTGCTGTATACCGCGCTCTGGGACTCAGCAAAGAGGCTTAGATCCATCCCTGCCCTCAGTGAGGAGGCAAATGGAAAGTCAAGTAAAAATTTCCTGGAAATCATTTAAAAACTAAGTTGTGCTAAATGCTGGGTGGGGATGATGCCCGAGGGATTGAAGCAGATATTTGAACTGAACCCTGAAGGAATCAGCTACCAGAAACCAGTGTTGCAGGAGTACGCAAAAGAGAATGGAGCTGGTGTGTGTAATGCCAGGAAGGCTCCTGTGGCTGGAATGGAGAGGGGGTGGAGAGGCCCCATATGGCCTGGGGGAGTTTGGGGGTTATTTTGCTAGGATGAAGTTACTGGTATGGGAAACGTCTCTCTAATCCTTAATCCTACCTGCCTCCATCTGAGGCCCATGACCAGTCTAAGGTGACTATGCCCCACCCCTGCTCACTCATCCTCCCTGGCTCTCAGGTGCCCAAGGGATTAAGTGCCAGCTCTCCTCTCACCCCCTTCAAATAGGCTGTGGTCCCAACCCCCTCATTTTGTGGATGAGGAAACAGGCTAAGAGAGGGGAAGTGCCTTGCCTCCATCTGGCTTGCTCACATCTGAGCTGAGACAGAAAACTCAACCCTTTGGTTTACACTAGAAGGGTGCCTCTCCTGACCTGGACCCATATCTCAGGCTCTGCACCTGGAAAATGGGGGCAGAAACACTGCCTTGGGGTTGTTGGGAAGGGCTATGTCTTTTTTCCTTTTGTTTTTTTAATATATTTTTATTGACTTCAGAGAGAGGGAGAGAGAGGGAAACAGAGTCATTGATTGGCCACCTCCTGCACGCCCCCTGCTGGAGATTGAGCCTGAACCCCAGGCATGTGCCCTGACCAGGAATCTGACAGAGATCTCCCAGATCATAGGTCGATGCTCAACAGCTGAGCCACGCTAGCCGGGTGGGAAGGGCTGTGTCTTAATATCGGACTGTACCTCAAGCCTTCTCAAGGCTCCCACTGCACTTAGAATAAAACCCGCATCAAGCCACACTGCCTTTCTCACCCTCCACCTGCCAGGCTTGGTCACACCTCTGAGACTTTTCACTGGCTGTTTTCACCCCCAGCAATACTTTTCCCCTTTTCATTCAAGACTTGGCCTAAAGTTCACCTCCTTCTTGTCATTCTTTTACCGCTTTGCCATTGTCACAGCTTTGATCTCAACGCCTGGGGTGTGGTACATGCCTTTTTTGTTCCTCACTGATGAATCTCCATGAGCAATCGGCCAAGGAATTCTTCCACTCCATGGCCACAGAGCCATGGCTTGGTTTAGAAGTGGTAAAGTCTCAGGAAACTAGGGTGAGTGTCCCATTTGTTAGCTGGAGAAACAGACTCAGCCCTGGGTCTGCTGAGGAGCCTGTGGCTGATCCAGCAGACACTCACTTGAGGGCCAAGTGCAGAACCCCTGAGAAAGCACCCTGTAAGTACATTTCTCGCAGCCAGTGTTAAGAGTGTGGGGCACCAGTCAGGATGTCACAGGTAGACCGGTCTAGGTTTGGGTTTAATTTCTGTCATCAGCTCTGTGCCTGCCCAGGTAAAATGGAGCTGGCTGTTGGAGAGGGCAGTTAGCCAGAGGCAGGAATGCAAAAAAAAAAGAAAATGAAAGCACCTAAGAAAACATTGGTAACAGATTACCAAAGTGATCACAAGTCACATATTATGAAATTTTTGAAACAGTGTCAACCTCTGAAAACAAATTTTCACCAGGAATTATTCATTTCAGGGCCTGGCTGGGTGGCTCCATCTGTACTTAAAACCTGCACCAGTAGTATTGTGTCCTGTAGTAAAGACCCAAAGTGGAGCCAAACCTGAAAAGCACTCTGGAAAAGCCCACCACTCCAAGGTGGAGACTAGAAGGGGCTAAGAGCCAGCCCAATGGGAAAACCCCATTGGAGTCTCACCACAAAGCCCCTGGTTCTGGTGGAGATGGAGGCGGCCCAGAGGCGAGGCCACAGTACCTAGTTGGGGAAAACTCCCTCCCCATGGGAAGTGCGTCCAAAGCAAGCCCAGGAAGCATTTCTCATCTTTTGCTTCTGCCTTAACAGTGTCACCCTGCTGCACTTACCCCAAATTTCCAACCTGCTCCCATAGTTGGACTAAGTAACACAGGAAAAATAGAGCCAAGGGAACAAAAGAAAAATGAAAAATATAGCCAACACATCATCCATTTCTTTATTGTCCTTCGGATCTAAAACTTCCTTGTGACACCATGTATAGCCACTGATTCCAGCCTCTGTTTATGGAACTTCTATTGTTTGGTGGTCAACTTTTTTGTTTTACATTATCATCAAAGACTTAGTCACAGTAAATACAAGTGCCCCGCCCCCAACACACACATACACACAAATCTACCTCCCAAATACCCTGCACTAGTGTAACTACTGTTTATTATACTTTGTTAAGGATTATAAAACTAGCTGTCACTTAAAAAAAATGCTTAGTCCCAAGTTTTTAGGCAAATGTCATGTGCAGCATAACTTGGCATAAAAAAACCAACAAAACCCTATGGTGCAGCAGCAAAGACCATCATTTCCATTATTTACACCCATGATGAGAATGTTCATATTACTCTTATAGAAAACTCCACTTCTCTGCCCATAGGAGTGATGTGTGGGTCACATGGCAGGAGACACACTTGGTAACCTCATTCCCGCTGCACTGGGGTAAGCTTTTTGCTTCAAGATCTTGGAGGACAGACAGAACCAGAGACCCCTGGAGAAGGGCCATTCTCTGCCTTGTCAAAGGTGTGGGTCCTAACGTCACAGTTGGGACATTGAGGACCAGTGTCTCCATGACATGGGCAGGATGGCTAGAGCCATGAGCAAGTGGCTCCAAGGGAGCATGCCTGTATCTATGCACATACAAGTACACGCACCCGGTTGTTTCAAACCTGCTCCCCCATTAAAATGGGGAATAAGCTTTGTGCACTCCATACCTGTCCACAGAACAGCAGAGAACTAGGGACCCTTATAATCATCACTTGGGCCTGGGGGCTCCTACATTCTCACTGCTCCTGGGAACCAGGTCCTCTCAGCCCTGACACTCCTGAGGGAAACCAGGATCCCAGTACTGTGGCAGATTGAGGGGGTGAACTGTGCTGCTGGGAGAGCACATCATTAACATCCTTTCATAGTATATTCAAACCCCACACCAAGAGAGGTATTTAACAATGCCTTTCCTGTAACATCTTAAAGTCCACCACATAACCCCCCATATTTAGGGCTTATTGTAGATGTTACACTGCAAAGTGGGAAACTGAAGCAAAAGGGGGGTAAGAATTTAAAAATAGAAGTGAACTAAAGATTAAAGCCTCTCACGTTCTTGCCTCCTTTAAAAAAGGCTATACTTCCATCACAGTAAGTTGGCCCTGATGGGAACGTGCCTGGGGATGATGGGCTGGAGAAGGCAAAGCCAGGGCCCAGCTGTTCTGTCCTCCACACAAGGTGGTCCGGCCAGGCAAGGCAAGATGAGAGGTGGTTTCTAAGTGCCATTATGAGCCAGGTTATGATGGGGCTGGGGACCAACATATGCCCTTGAGTCACAGACCCAGTCAGCCTGGCTGGGGCGGGGGCGATGACAATCCTGAAGCACCCCTCCAGTGCCTAAGTGATTCTGGCCCAGACATCTGATCCAGTTACTGCATAGAACTGAGGTCTGTTTGCTGGGAGTGGCCAGCCCAGTGTTCCTTGTCGGACGATTTGGAGAGTTTGGCCCATGTAACTGAACAGAGAGGGTTAACAGCTTAGGGTAGTATAAGACAGGTATTTATTTACCAGGCACACAAAAACGTGAGAAATAGAAATGCTTGCATACTCTTGAGTTTTTGGTGTATAAACACATCCTTTCCCCACACTCCTGAATGTTTATTTTCCTCTTTCCCCCCCAATCCCTGCATCCTTGTAATGAAAGCCACCCTTCCCTCCCTCCCCTCCTTCAGCCCGTGTACTCAAAACAAAAATCAATGAGAAATTTAGGGTTCTACAGAACAAAAAATTAGAACATTTTGCAAAACTAGGTCTACCACATCAAAAATGTTTTCTAAACACTGATATTCACACAACATGAGGGGGTTAAATGAGCCTTTATTAGAATGTTGAAGCAGTGTGTTCAAAGTAGGCAGCCCTATAAAATAAGGATTTTAAATTAAGTCCCTAACTGCATGGACAAGAAAACCAGGGCAGGGGCTGAAGTGGGAGCGGTGTACCCCGTCTCCACATCAACACACACATGTGCACACATATGGGATGCCCTCCCATGTGCATGGAGCTGGCCCTGTGTGCAGTGCACACATGACATCTTCTGCCTTGCCTCATGGAATTGATTTTTAAGGAGTGGGAGAAACCAAAATGAAACAACTAAGAGCAGACCTGATCCCTTTGTAAGACATTTCTGTAGACTCTTAAAGAGGGTTTAAAAAAAAGTCTGAAGGCGAACACTGGCAGCATGGCCCTCCTTTAAGGGAAGGTTCTAAGCTAGACCCAAATGGAAACCCTAAAGTCTGTAGGGGGCAGGGGCATCTCCCCACCTGACACACCTGATGTGAGTACAGGCCGGGGCAGCTTAGGATGTTGTCCATCAAAATAAGTAGGAAAAGAAAAGGAAAAATTTAATAAAATAAACCACAACAACAAAAAAACACAATAGCCCGCCCCTCCAACTTCCTGCTCAGGCTCTGTATGTTGCTGCCATTTCTCCTCCCTTCTCCAAGGGCAGCAGCAAGGCCTTCAGGATCCCAAGCGCTCTGGCTGGGTCTGGGTTGCAGTTTGTTCTTCTGCTAAGTGTGGGAGGTTGGGGGTTTCCTCGACGAGCAGCAGTATAGGCCTTCTGCTGGAGCAAACAAGGGCTGGTCAGTCAGTGGCCCATCCTCTGGGGCATGGGGGCCATGCTCGGCAGGAACCCCTGGGTCTGCATGGTTTACTTTAAACTCCATCATCATGAGGTGATTAAAAATTTGTCAACCTAGAGATTGCCGTGAAGGAAGGCAGTCAAAGATTAGGAGGCTAAGACGGGGAAAAAAGCAAAAACAAAACAACGGTCCACTCAACTTCAGAAGCCCCGAGCTCCGGTCTTGCCCGAGTGTGTCACAGTGTCCAGGCCACCCATGTGCCCTGAGGGGGCTGAAGAGGAGGGCGGGAGCAGAACCAGCCCCCGAGGTTCAATTTTCTGCTGGTGTTGGGCAAACTAAAGGCAAAGAAAGGAGGAAAGCCCATGGGAAAGGTCCCCCAGTGATAATCATCCTCATCCACCTGTGAAGCGGCCCTCCAGCCACAATAAGACTTTGCAGCCAAGAACAGAGGGAGCTCTTGCTTCCGCAGTGTGGCAGACACTCGCTCGCTCTTTTGGGGAGCAGGGTGTCTTCCCCAGCGAGCAGAGGGCAGCGGGCCAGGTAGGAGGGAGGAGGGAGCCTGTTCTCCACTGGGCCGGCTCGCATTATTTCCATGTGGCCGACTGGGGGATGGAGCGTGGCGGGATCATGTCCAGGAGGTACTCCCGCTGGCGGTCCACGGCTGAAGAGGTCTTGTGCACTGCCAAGCTCGGGCCAACAAATGCAAGGGCGCCACCTGCAATAGAACAGAGGAATAGGCTGAGATGGCCCCAGTCAGGGGCAGGCTCCCAGGAGTATACCAGGGTGGGGCCGACCAAGCATGGGAAGCCAAAATCCCAGCCTCAGAACTGAAGAGAATTTAACAAATAACTTAATCTCCTTTACAATGTTCCCAACCTCTGCCGAAGTAAGAGATTCCATCAGCTATCCGAGAGCTCTGTAAACTGAGGTGGTCACCACAGTGCTGTTTAGAACAGTGAAAAAACCACAAATGACTGAACTGTGCAACTAGGAAATCAGTATGATGGAATACCATTCAGCCATCAAAAAGGACAGGGTAACATTCCCTCACTGAACCATTCAGAGGGGCACAGAATGGCACACACCGCATAATCCCTTTGTAGGACACTCATTTATACACATGTAACGTGAATGAAGAGGCAGACTGAGGAAGGCTCCAAGTGCTGCATTTGTTCTCCTGGGGTAAAAAGTACAAGCCACTGCAATCATTTTCCTTTTTCATCTTCTCTGAATTTCCACAATGAACTTGTATCACCTTTATAATTGGAAAATGAAGACTTGACACCCCTCCCCCACTGGCATACTTAGGTTTTTGGCTGGCCTGGTATAAGGATTGCTCTGGATCCCCAGCTGCAACAGGGCCTTCCCAAGAGCTTTTTTATTTTTTTTTAAACCCTCACTGAGAATAATTTCTCTACTGCTTTTCAGAGAGGGAGGGAGAGACAGACACACCAATGTGAGAGAATAATATTGATCAGCTGCCTCCTGATGCCTCCTACTGGGGATTGAACCCGAAACCCTGGCATATGCCCTGACTGGGAATTGAGGGAATCAAATCCATTGAGTGCATGGGACAAAGCTCAACCAACTGAGCTACACAAGTTAGGGCTCACTCCCCTCCCCCCTTTTTAAACTGATTTCAGAGAGAGGGAGACAGAAACACCAATGATGAGTCATTGATTGGCTGCCTCCTGCACACCCTCTGCTGGGGATCAAGCCCGAAACCCGGGCATGTGCCTACCAGGAATTGAACAGAGATCTCCTGGATCATATAGGTTGATGCTCAACTGCTGAGCCACACCGGCCAAGCTCAGTTTTGCATTTTTGATGGCCACAAGAAAAATTGAACTTTCTTTAAATAGGTTTCTTTCCTTTTTTATTGATTTTTTAGAGAGAAAGGAAGGGAGAGGGATAGATAGAAACACTGGTGAGAGAGAAACATCATTCATCAGCTGCCTCCTGCATGCCCCCACTGGGGATCAAGCCCACAACCCAGGCATGTGCCGTGACTGGAAAATGAACCGATATCTCCTGGATCCTAGGTTGATGCTCAACCGCTGAGCCCCACCCCGCTGGGCTGAATGGCAAATCTTTATTTGGAGCTCTTCTAGGCATAATGGGAGGGGTGATAGGTTGTGTGCTGCATTTGGTTGAATTTTCTGTAATCCACTTTCTAGTGATTTCAAGTAGAAAATTTTTCTACCTCATTTCTTGATTATTGTAGCAATAAATTTTAAACGCATTGAAAAAGGCACAACTTATCAAAAAGAAACCTACTTTTTTATACCAATTGATACTTTTGCACAAGATACTGCTATACACCAAATACCGATGTGCTCAATCAACTCCCTTTATATATATGTTGCAATCCACTATACGTGTAGGTTTTGTGACGTTATGTGTAGATATTGTAGAGGCATCGTGAAGGGTTGATATTATACGTACTGGCCTTTTATCTTTACGTGTAAGGAGAATAATGGGACTTTTCTGCAAAAATGTCATTTCTCCTCTCTGAAGGCTGTTTTTTCTTTTAGTAGTTTTGGCAACCCACAATTCTCCCTTATTGTTCCCCAGACCAGTGCTTTGTTCTTCAATAATAGTTCAGCTGTAGACATGCTGTTGTAGTAGTTATCTTGGTAAATATAATGCCAAGAACCAAGAAACGGCAATAAGATGGATAATACAGTCTGCTGTAACTCTTTACCTTCACCTGTAAATATGTCGAAGTTGCAAATATAGCCACTGTCACTTTCACAAAGCATCCTTACTAATATTCTGTGTTTTATTATATTTTCCGATTACTTATCTTGAATCTGATGTGTTCTCTCCATGCAATCATTGCTTCAAGTGATAACTGCTATTTTGGTATATATAAAGATTTAAATTTTGAAATAAAGAGATCCAAAAGAAGTCTGACTTGTAAAGATGGTCTGTGTTACATGTTGTGAATAGTTCAGACGAGAGAATGTAAGTATTTGCTCAAACCTCTTTCTAGTCACAGTTTTTGGAAATATGAGTGACTCAAGTCAAGGATCAGTTGACCAGTAATCGTTCCATTCTGGCTTCTTCGTTAATCCCATCAATATAATTAAACCAAGAAATGTCTTTATATCCATATAAGTAATATCTATCCATGGTGAAGTTTTAGCAGAGGTTTTGTGGTATTTTTCCATTTGGTGATGGTATGAATTGGTTTGAGAAGTAATGAGATCGAAAAAATCCTCATTAAAAAAAAATTGGTTACTTTACTTATACTTTGTGGGTCTTCAAACTGAACAGTTATGCCTGAAATATTTGTATAATCCTCCAAGGCTGGTAAAATGCCTTTTTCTGCCCATTCTTCTTCAGAATCACTTTCACTGTTGGATACTATCACATTTCTCTTTTGCCTTTGTGATGGTATAATGTCAGGCTCATTACTATCTTCCAGCTGACTACCAAAGTCACTTGGCCAATCAGACAGTATCTGCACATAATTTGCTCAAACGTTCTTCTCCGTCGCGACGTGTCTTTTTTAAAACTTTTGCCATAATAAAAGATGGATGGAAAGAACTAGATGTATTGCTTGGCATGCCTCTGGAAATACTAACTGATGGGTTGAGAAAAGGGCATGCATAATGCAGAGGAAAACTAGGGAAGGCTGAAATAAGTGCCGAGCAGTGAAGTGCAGATACAAGTTATCTCGTGACTGGTCAATGACATTTGGGAATGGAAACAAGAGTATACTTGTGACATGTCAGCAAGGTGTTTAAAATTACTTAAATTAATGTAAGGGCAGACAGAAGTTATCTTATGACTGATCAGTAACATTCAGACACAGAAACACATGTATACTTGTGACAGGTCAGTAAGGTGTTAATGCTAGCACATAAGTAAGAAATTTCAAAAATAGGATGACCCAGAATGGTGGGGTTATGAGAGATTGAGTAATACCTGCCTGAGCATCTCCAAATGCCCTTGGTTGTTCCTCAAATGTCACCTCCCTCAGAGGCCTTTGTAACCTCAGTTATAAAGTCCAGCCCCAGCCGCTGCCCCAGAGTTCCCCTCCTCCTCCCTGCATTCTTGTTCTCTTTTGCATTTTACACCACCCGATCTGTCCAAGCCAAAAGGTGGGAAGAGTGGCCCACACATCAGGGAATAAAGGACACTGTCTGGCTGAGCAAATAATAGTACAGCATAGAAGGCACAAGCTACCTAACGTTCCCTATGGGGAGGGGAAGTTAGGTGAGCATCTGCACTGACAGGAGTCCCCTGGATGGTGGGGTTAACAGTGCCTGAACTGGGTCTGTCCTACCTTTCAGGCAAAGGGCTAAGCGTTTGGGTACAGAGCACAGAGACAGTGAGGGTGATTAGGATCTACCCAGGGCTGTCACTTGTTCAGGACATCCTATTTAGTGAAAAAGAGAGATTCAGCTGAAGAGCTGGAGACAGATGCTCTCAGGGAGCAGGTCTGGGGGTTCAGGGCCCTTTGTGCCATTTCCCTTCACCATGTGCAAGACTTTGTTAAAATAAGGAAGGGATGGACCCAACCACAGCAAGGTTGCTACTTTGAGCCCCTCAGGGGCTGCCCACCTGTACTCAGGGGTGCCTTCTTCCAGTTGGAGGTGGTGTTGCCCTTGCCAGAACTAACGGCTCTCTCGGAATGTCTGCCGGTCCTGCTGACGAGAGCTGTGGCTGAAGCTGCATTCTGCAGTTTGGGCGACTGGCTGAACGTGTGCAGGACACCTCGGGGCGTCGTGGCCGAGCCCCGGGACAGCTGGCTGGAGGCCTAAAGTGGAAAGAGGGTGCAATGGCTCATTGGGAAAGGAAAGGGCAGTGGGTGGGATGCTCAATGCAGCCTTTCCTTGCTGTGGCTGACCTCTTCCCACCCACACAGGGTCCCTAAAGTCCAAAATCAGGAGACCAGGTAAGTTACACCAAGGGGACAGGGGAAGGAAAGAGGAAGAGAGAGAAACAGACAGACAAACGCAGGTAGCTGACATCCCGGTCTAGGGCGTGAGGGCTGGTTGGTGGCGCGGTGCAGGGGACTCCCAGCACTCCAGTTCTGACCTGTAGCACAGCCCCGTTACTCCAGTCGCGGGCCTCTCCTGAACGGAACGCCAACTTACGCCGGGGTTTTATGACCTACACAAACGGGGGTTGAAATCAAGATCAGCACCATCCACAGGCCGGCCCAGGGTGACCTAGAGTGACCAAAGGGCAGCAGCTGTGGCCACATGAGGCCTAGTCCCCACAGGACAGGTCGTTTCCTGAGGGCAGTGTGGCCTCCCACTACGTAGGGACCTTGAGAAGATATGATCATTAGTGAATTACAAATGACTTCCAAGGATACAAAACACTGCCAACAGAAAGCTTTGGATCTACAGGGGGTGGGAAAGCAGAGCATTAAAAACAGTAGCCAAAAAAATTTGATTTCAAACTTCCTTCTCTCCTTAATTTAGCTAGAACATTTCTTCCAAATATCCCTTTTGTATCTCAATGTGGCTATCAGAAAAGTCCTTATAGACAAGAAGTACTTGTCGGCAGCACAATGAGCGTGAAAGCTACAAAATCTAAAAAAACTGCAAATTAGTATTTTCACCACCGAACACCACCATTAAACGCAATTTAGACACAGTTAACAATCAGGCAGATGCTCGCCGAATGTGGGACAGAACACCAGAACACTTTGCCTGCTAGCAACAACTTCTCTGCCAGGGAACAGGCACCTCTCCTGGAGGGTGAGGCCCCAGTCCAGTTCCCAGGCCTCCAGGTCATGACTCTGGCTCCTACACAAGGACTCACCTGCTTCAGAGTAGGATGCGGGGCAGTGGCGGGATCAGCTTTGGCCTGCACAGGAGCTGCACCCTGCTGCAGAAGGCGCTGCTCAATTTCCTGTTCCTGCTGCAGTGCTTTCACGAAGGCTGCCTTCAGCCTGCTCGTGTGCTCCACCTTGAGCGCCTTCTTCTGGTTGGAAGCCATGCAGTTCTCACACATGATGGCACCACCCTTCTCCTCCCGCCAGCGACACGTGAAGTCTGTCTTGCACTGTGCACACATGTAGGGCTCCCGGGACAGCACGACGGCAGCTGACATCCTGCCTGCTGTAGGGGGAGATGGGTACGCTCACATCAAAGGAACAAGACGTCAGTCAGAACCTCCACTACCCAGGATACAGGATAGAGGAAGAGCAGCATCCCAAGCCATGTAGCTCAGAAAACCAAAGCCTCAGACGCCATCTGTATGCACTGGGCCAGCCTCAGGGAAGCTTTTCAGGCTGGAGCTTTGGAAATGCGTGGGTCAGGCATCCTTGGTATGAACTCTCAAAAACATTATGTAGCACCCTAGCCAGTTTGGCTCAGTGGTTAGAGCATCGGCCTGTGGACTGAAGGGTCCAGGGTTCAATTCTGGCCAAGGACACGTATTTCGGTTGCAGGCTCCATCCCCGGCCCTGGTCAGGGCACGTGCGGGAGGCAACCAATCGATGTGTCTCTTTCACATCGATGTTTCTTTCTCTCTCCCTCCCTCCCCCCCTTCCACTCTCTCTGAAAAGCAATGGGGAAAAAAAATATATATATATATCCTCTGATGAGGATTAAAAAAAAAAGTTACATAGTGCCATCATCTTGGCTTCTCCCAATGGCCTTGCCCACAGTGTAGGATGGGCAGGAATTCTGGTCTGACTTGGCCTCCCATCTGCCCTTCCTATACTGGCCTTGCAGCAGCTCTTTTGCTAATAATATTACCTCATCATAAAGAAGATACCAAAGGGAGCCAGACACACAACCAGGCCATGTCAGAGCCTGCACCCCTCTCTGTGGTTCCTCAAGGCAACCTGACAGGTGGAGACTGTTAGCCCCTTCCCTGTTCCAGTTATGACTATGCCTCCTCCTCAGTTATGAGCATCTGAAAAGCTTACACAGGAAGAGGGTTCAGGCTGGCTGCTCAATTAATGTCACTACCAGCTCCATTTCAGGGCACAAGCGTCCCCAGTTCAGTGGCTGGTGGAGGGCCCTAAGGGCTAACATGGCCTCCACCTTCATTTCCAGTATTGTTTTTGATCACTATCCTGTTTATGCCCCTTTTATTCCTAAAACCACCTAACATGCAAGTACATTTTCCAAACTGTTTCCAAGGAGGGCAATACAGTGAGTCTGACTTAGGTGTAGGTGTCCTCTCCCACCTTGGGGGCTCTGAACACTCAAGGCTCTGTTTGGAAGCAAAGCCTGTCATGTCAATCTCCAGCAGGCATTCTTCCTCACTGACCACCTGCCTCACAGCACACCAGCATCACAGTGCCACTGCTTGTCCCCCTAGATACGTGTTTAGGGGACTTGAGCTTCACCAGGGCCTGGTTCTCAGGAGACCCTAACAGGAAAGGTGCCTGCAATGTGTTTAAAAAGCTATCAAACCTCTGCCCTGGCCAGGTGGCTCAATTAGTTGGGGCATCCTCCCATACACCAAAAGGTTGCTGGTTCAATTCCCGGTCAGGGCGCATATGGGAGGCAACTGATTGATGTTTCTCCCTTCCCCCTCCCCTTCCTTTCTCTCTCTCAAATCAATAAACACGTCCTTGGTTAAGGTTAAAAAAAAAAAAAAAGCTGTCAAACCTCACAACAAGCAGAACTGATGATGAAACAATACCCATAATATCCATAATAGCCAATCTTTAAGACAGCTCTGGGTACACCATAGGTGCATAGACAAGGCTGTACATTTGAAAAAACCTATGTAACAGAAGCTTCAGTGGCAAGAGATGAAAACAACCCTAGCTCAGGGCGCACTTACCTTGCGTCTCCAGTAGGTTCTGTACCACCTCCTCTAGGCCAACCAGGTAGATGAATTCGTTGTTGGCAGCACTGGGCAGGAAGTTCATCTCTGGGGCAGGGGGTTTGGGCGGGGGGATTTCAAGCAGCGTCTTCTCCAGCTGTTTGCGCAGTGCGAGCTTGGCAGCCGCCTGCCGGCTGGCTGGAGAATCACCAGATGTGACCACGGAAGTCACGCTGGTGGGGGTGGAGTTGCCCTGAGCAGAGGTGACTGTCGTTCCTTTCAGTGAGGCTGGGGATGGCTTTTGGGAAACAACAACCTGGTCAGGGTGCTGGGGGTGCCCCGTCCTGAGGCAGGCCCTACTGCTGCACCCACAGCCTAGGTCAGCACCATTAGCTGTACTAATTAATGGATCCTTGAGAAATTCCAAGCTGCCTGATATCTGTGAGCAGCAGGCAGAATAGTATTAAACCATCTACCCTATGAGATGACCAATCTTGTACGCAAACTTGTTGAGGCTTAGCTGATCTCCAATAAACCACACACATTTAAAATCTGTAATTTGCTGCATTTTGCCAGGAGGACACCCCTGAAGCAAGCTATCACCATAACCAGGACAGTGAGTACCGCCTTAGTGATGTTCCCCCAGCACCAACCCAGATAGCATGGCGACTATCTAATCTATATGGCCAGACCCTCCTCTCAGCACAGGTCTGGGCAGCTTCCTTTCTCACAGGGGTGCAATGGTGGCTTAAGTGGCATCTCTGGCATTTCTCTTGTGAGCATCTTTGTATGTGCTTACCTGAGATGCTAATGTTTTAGCTCACATGTCCTCATTTGGGTTGCAGGAAAGAGTAACTCCTGCACCAGCCTATCACCCCTCAACCTTCTCAACTGTTGCTATTCCTGCACTACTTTATTGTCTTTGTCTGGACCCCAGTGGCCAACGCTCCATTGTCTCCTTGCTCCAGTTCACTCACCCCCAACACTGTCATGTGCTCTTCCCAAAACCTGGAGCTGACCTTGACAGTTCCCTCAGACACTCCCCAACACAGAGGATGCCATCGCAGCATTTTGACCTGGCCAACCCCCCACTGACCAACCAGCCAGTTTTCCTTGACCCCTTCTTGGGTTCCCCACCTCACTGGGAACAGAGCCCCCTGGCTCCACTGCTGCTGGCCTGCTTTCTTCCATCCTCCTGGCATGCTGAAATGGGAACAGGGTCTGGCACACAGAAGGGATCTGATCAAGGTTTATGGGGTAAATAAACTGCTTGCATAGGTCAAACTTTTGTTCTCCCAGGACATCCCTATGTGGTGGCAGGACTGCACTTGATCCCGACCTAGAGGAGGCAGGCAAGAATACACCAGGCCAATGGAGACAGAGATGCTGACTCGCCAATCAGCAAAAGCCCCTGCACACCCAGTAATTTTATCTGTCAATGGGGCTTTGCTTCTAGCCTGTCAGCCCCTGGTCCTGTCTTGCTGACTCTGTTGAGTAGGGACAGACCCACCCCATCTCGGAAGTTTTGTCCAGAATTGAAGGGACTTGTGGATAAGAATAGATACATTGGTGCTGTGAGGACATTTGCAGGCACATGCTGCTCATGTGCTTGCGCCTGCGGGGGAAGGGTGGAAAGGGATCTGGTGCCCCCCAGCCATCTCCAGGCCCATCAAACACCTCCCTGGCCTCATCTACCCTTCCCAAGCCTGCCTCCCCCAAGCCCTCAGAGTCCTGTCACAGCTCAGGTCTGCACCCCTCACCCTCTCAGCAACTCTCCACCTCTGCCACATGTCAGATCTGAACACAGAATTCCTGCCTGTGACCTAACATGCCTGACACTCCCAGAGGAGCTCAAGTATAAACCACATGGGGTATCTGAGGCCTCACCTGGCTCCGAGGGAGCAGGTAGGTCACATCGAACAACCCAACTGTACCCCTAGGACTGCGGGGCCTTTTGGGGGCAGCTGCAAGGCACACTCCCCAAGTCGGCACAACACGGCCCTCACCTGCGGGATGTTGACGAGCAGACTGGTGTTGGGGACATTGGCGACACGGATAAGGCCCTGCTGGATGATCCTCTGTCCCTGAATTTGCACATTGGGCACAGATGCCCGGGGGGCCAGGAGTAGTGGAGGTGGCCCCGTGCTGGAATGTTGTCTGATGTTGTGGATTTGCTGTGGGGTAGGGACAAGACAATGAGGGACAGTAGAGGGAGGTAGAGGAAAGGGCTGGGCTCCGCAGCCTCCAACTGAGGTCTGGAAAGGGTCGTTTCTGTGAGGTAAACAGTTGGTTGGGGCTGCCTGGCCGTATTCCTGTCCCAAGAGTGCACCCTGCTCACCTGGGCCCCCCTGACGAGTGGGGGCATGACGACCTGTGAGCTCGCCTGCGGCCCCAGCTTCGAGGACACCTGCTGCCCACCACGGACGAGGGGTGGTGGGATGACACTACCAGGCATTCGAGTCGAAGAGGTCTGTAAACGATACCAATCTCTGTATCTAAACATTTTTTTAAACAAACAGGTTTGCTATTTTTATAAAAGCACTATTCATAACAAAAAAGGAAGAATAGAAAAGACATAAAAACAAGGAACACAGACTCCAACAAGAACCTTGACAGCATGGGCTCAGTCAAGACACAAGCCCCACCACTATAAGAGTCCAGCTAACCAGGACTGGTGCCTGGTGCCTGCTGGTGTGAGCTGGGGGCTCAAGTTTGTGTGAGGGGAGCTGGGCCCCTGTCCAGACCTCAGCCCTGTGGCTGGGAGCAAGAACTCTGCCTGTCTCACCCTGTGAGCAGAGGAGGCTGGGACAAGGCACCACTGCCTTTGGGAGACTTGGAATGAAGGGAGCCCAGTCTGTCTAGGTAGGATCTTAGTCCTTTCTCCAGTCTCAATAGGAATGGTTATAGGAGGGGCCTCCCATTCGTTGGTGTGATTTGTTTATGATGTCAATGGTGGCCTAGTTTGGGAATGTGAACATGATTTAGGGGCTACCAGCAGGAAAATCTCACCCAGTCTAATCAAAAGGAGCAGGCAGCCTTTTGCAGGGCTGCTCAAGAGCCTGATCAGGAGGGAACACTGACCTGAAGTGATGGCTTCCCGGAAGGAATGTTCTGGGTGCCCCGCACGAGCGGGGGAGGGGTGGTCACGGTGCTCCCAGTGGAGCCTGTGGGCTGTAAGAGAGCAGGATACTCAGGAGATGAGATAGCCATCAGTCCTGCCCACCCCATAATCCTGATGGAGGACTGATTTTCTTCCTATCACAAAGGTACTAGGCTTGCAAAGGTTCTGCTTCCAGCCTGGTAAGTGACCAGTCTATCTGCGACAGGAACTGACATGTTCAAAATGGGCAGAGGAGAGCTTTTCCAGCACCCCTCTCCCGCTGGGGACTCCTGGCACTACTCTGTGGTTCAGGTGCTGGCTCTGCCATGTGGGGTGCAGGAAGGGCAGGAATGGGAAAGGACCCAGGGCCTGGACATGTTAATCCCAACTTTGGGACTCTTAAAGTAACATATTCCACTAGGGAAAGGACAGGGATAGGCTTGGGTCACTTTACCTTATCTTCAACAACTGACAAGGAAATAAGTAATAGGCAGGCACTGTCTACCCAGAGATTAACAGACGTCAGGCAACATCTACTTGCTGACTGAGTGGGGTGAGAATTCAAACAAACCCCCCAAGTCAGACCAGTGGGTGTCCTTCTCCTGTCCCTTTCTCTTGGAGGATATGAGTTTTACACACTGTTAGCCATCCTGCCCGACATGCAATCACTTTTCTGGTTTAGTGACTGGTTCTAAGGACAGCCGTATAATCAACCTGGAATCTTCCCAGAAATCCAACAAAACAAACATGAACTTGCCCTACACGATAAGCTGTGCTCAGAGCAGCACCACAAAGAACCTCAGGCACTGGGACAGTACCTCTGTCCACGATCCCACAGCAGCCTCCGCAGGCCAGCACAGCCACATACACGGCAGGAGGGCTTTCTGGAAACGAACTCGGGACAGAGCTCCGAACCTAGAAGTGTGCTTCCTGCAGCTTCACACATCTATCTGCTTTCCATTCCCTTGATGCTTTGAGAGGAAGTGAGTTTTATGTACTCAGATATGAAACATGCTAGACCAAGCAGTACTCTGATATTCTCTGACATCCTTTTAGCTAAATCTAAAATGGGGACTTGAGTCTCCAAGTTTATTTTTTTTTTAATCCTCACCAGAGGATATATTTTCCATTGCTTTTCAGAGAGTCAGAGAGAGAGAGAAAGTGAGATACATTGATGTGAGACACACATTGATTGGTTGCCTCCCACACAAGCCCCGACCAGGGCCGGGGATGAGCCTACAACCGAGGTATGTGCCCTTGGCTGGAATCAAACCCGCGACCCTTCAGTCCGCAGGCCAACGCTCTAACTGCTGAACCAAACCGGCTAGGAAACCAAATTTCTATTCAGATATTGGCCCTCATCCCCAAGGAAACCCATCCCCACATGACCAGTCTTTCTAACCCCAGCTCTGAATGGCTTCCACTGACCCTTAAGGAAGGTACAGACTCACACACACCTTCTGGGCGGTGGTTTCCTTTTGTATTTGACTCTGCCGCAACTTTTTCAATAAAACGAGTTTTGCTTCTTCTAACCGTAACTCTTCTTTCAGCTGCTTAATCATCCTTTCTCGTTCTTCAGGACTGCTTTTCTGCAAGTTCAAGAGAACAGGGTTGAGAGGGAGGCCCAGCAGCCAGCCAGAAGCACAGGCCCCACTGTCACCAGTTGCATTCAGGGATGCTGTTGGGTGTGGTGGTCCACAGCATGGGGACAAGGCTCACCATAAGGTCCTCGGTGCTTGTCTCCTGCAAGGCCTCCTTTGGAAGCCCATTCACCCGAGGACTCATGGGCTGCTCATTGTCAGACAGCACAATCACATCAGGCGAGGGGGCTCTCTTCTCGGATTTCATGTCACTGTACAGTAGGGACAGCAAATCATTACCAGAGCACACCGACTGTGCAGGACACTGTTCCCCAGAGCCCCATGCCCATAACCCTCAGATGCCGACTCAAACACAGACACAGCAAGAAGGTGGCAAGCACACTGTCCCACTGGTGACAACATCTTTCCTTGTGTCCTCCCTGATGGCCTCCCCACCACCCACCCAGGTTGCCTTCTCTCACTACTCACCATGCAGTACCCAAACCCACCGGTGCACAGCTGGGCCCCTCCCAGTTGGGACTGTTCTTGGTGCCTGCTTCTGTGACCCTGGGGATGAGGACACTTATATGTCTGAGGGTGACACAGACATTTTGGAAAACACCACCACTTCTTTCTCTACCATGTGGCTAGGTGTTGAATTAAAAATGTCAGTGGTTAGCCCTGGATGGTGTGGCTCCATGGTTAGAGTGTTGGCCTGCACACAGAAGTGTCACGGTATGTACCTGGGTTGCAGGTTTGAATCCCGGCCCCAGTCAGGGGAGGTGTGGGAGACAACCAACTGATGTGTATCTCTCACATCGATGTCTGTCTCCCCCACCCACCCACACTCTCTAAAAAATCAACAGAAAAAATATCCTCAGGTAAGGGTTAACATAAACAAACAAACAAACACTTGGCCCTGGATCCTGGCTGAGGCTGCCTGCTGGATAATCCCTCCTGGACCACATGTGGCCTCTTCATCCTTCCAGTGGCAACATGGCAGTAGTGGCTACATGTTTTGAAATAGACTAGAATATGGGATACATTTTATATCACAGGTCTGAGTACTCTTTGCCCATCTGATCTGCTCACAAACTGGTTCCTAGCAACTCCTATCCTCCATGCTCTAACAGTGGGTGAATCGGTCTGGTGCCAAAGCCCGTCATTACTTTCTCGTCCTCTTATCCCAACCCTACCCACTCCCAAGTCTCCTAAGACATATAGGCACATCTGAGCCTCTGCTATGGTGTCACTGACCCCATACATAGAATCAATGGGTCCCAGAGACGGCACTTCACCCGCAACCAAGCAAGCGGCTCCATTTGTTGAAGGCACAATGTAAACTTTCCCTTAAGATCTGGCTTCAATACTTGTGTTGAAGGAATGAGATCATTCTTTCCCTCAGCAGTAAAACCAGGACAAAATGCGTCCGCTAGGTGGCACTGTTGACCAGAGAACAAACTGATAAAGTTAACTGAGTAACAGCTCAAAGTTGTCCCACTCCTTCCACTACATCCCAGTTTTAAGCAGGGGCAGAGTTATAGTTGGACAACTGATGCTTAATAGCCCACTAAACCACCTTTTCTGTTCCTGGTGTGAGCTGCACATTCACAGAGGACCAGATGCTGAAGGTCCACTAACTCTCCCTGGATCCGGGGACCTAGGCCCCCTATCCCAATCCAGGCCAATCCTAATCCCACCTCCCAGAGCTGCATGGCAGCTGCACCTCAACACTCCCAGTCCTGATCCAATTTAACCAGCACAAGAGACCAGGGAGGTGGAAAAAAAGGCACCGACTTCAAGGCATACAACTGCTCATTGGGGTTATTAGCCCACATTCTCAAGTACAGAATCTGGCTGCTGCTTATAAAGTATCCCAGGACATCTCACACTGGCCTCAGTAAACTTAAAATCAACCTAATTCAGGAACCACCACTCTTTTAAGTCTCTGTGTCTCTCTGTTGGCTGCCCATTCAGCCCAAGATCAACTTCCAAGGTGACCCTGGGCTCCAATTCCAGGTTCTCTGGACATGCATACAGACACCAAGCAGATGCAAGGCCCCAGCACAGGATCTGTGGCACTGGTCCCTGTCCAGGTGGGCTTTCAGGTGGCTGCACACAGGCAGAGCAGCAGCCCAGGCAGAACCACATCTAGAGTTAGACTGTAGGCACTTTCTAAGGAAGTATGTGCTGGAGGAGGGCGACTCACATGGATTTATCACTTTTCAATCATCTCATTGAGGGTGTGCACTTCTTCAGAGGGTGAGATGTAAAAATCCCTGAAATTTGCCTGAGGGAAGAGAGCAGGAACCAGACCATCTGGAAGCTGCAGCTCCTTGAGATGGCCACTGAACACAGCACTCCTAGGTCCCATCTTAGACTGATATTAATCAATAACTCGTCCAAGAGATGACATCACCTCCTATCAAAGATCACTCAGCATCCCAGCAGGGAGTGAACTTCCTGTATGCTAATCAGGCCACCAAAAAGTCATGTGACAAAGGCATTTCCCTCCTTGGTCATGTGACCCTTTAACTGTGCCTTCCAAAGTGAAAACCATAGCAACAGCCAGTTCTAACCGGTTTGTGACAAGCAGCCTTCATTTTGAGAAGTGAGGTAGGGTTCAGGTGTTTGTCAGAAAATGGAGGCACCCAGTTCACCCTGGAGCTGCCAGGCTGGCAGGCACTTCCTGTGTGGTGCCCACCCACGGAGACTATGGTATGTTACAGAGACTGGGTCACTTCCAAACACAGAGGGACCACCAGGCCCTCTAGTTTCCAACATGAAAAACTTTCCTAAGCTCCATCTGTAAAACAAAGGTCCTTCAAGTGTCTCAGTTCCTTCCCAGAGAGTTCTTCTAATTCAGGAAAAATAATACCTCTTTGATACAGGATCAAAATTAACATGGGCATTCTTCTTAAAAAATTGTTTTAAATTATAGAACCACTTAAGCCAGAGAAACAAAAGCAGAGAAAATCTAGCCCAACAAGCTAGGGGGATGGTAGCATGGCCCCGTGTACTGCTTCAGTCCACGGCAGTCACCTGGGCAACAAGTTTATTTGGAAGCTACATGACTTCAGGGCAAATCCAGTAAACCCATCCTGGGAACCCTTATGTAAAATATTATAATCAAGAGCTTTTATGTGGCCTATGAAAAATCACTGGACGCAGGCCAAGCTGTAATCAGCAAAAATGGTCTCAACACCTCCTCCCTCTTGGGCAGGCCCTGGCTAAACAAACACAAAAGTTGTTACATGCCAGGAACTCCCCTCAAGTTTTCTGGAGGGAAGACCAGGATTTTAAAACTTAATTTATGACAGAATCCTGCACCCACTATGCCAGGCTACTGTCCCAGCTGTTCACCAGCCAGAGGTCAGTGTGAGGTTAATATTTAGTGACATGTCACTCCCCCTTCCCTGCCCCATGCCAAAGGAAGCAGTCTCATCGAGGGAAGGTAGAAACAATCCTCAGAAGCTCTGACCTTTGTCATTCTCTGAGCCTGCCTGATCATTGGGGAAGGAGTACTTAATCTGGACTCTTGCATTCATCCATTCATTCAACTCTTATTTGCTGAACGTCCACCTAAGAAGTAGGTGGTGCCAGTGCCAGGCAGTGGGGATAAACCTCTGGATAAAAGGTGATTCTGTCCTTAGGATCCACCAAGGGAGATAGGAACACTACCCACCTCAGCTCAGGAGCAGCTGGGGAAGCTTCTCCAGGCCTTGTAGAAATGTAGCATCTTGCTGCCCTACACCTGCTCAATCTAAGCCTACATTTTTAGCAAGATCTCTAAAATTCCTGCACACATTAGGGAAGCTGGGGATGTACAATAAGACCTCAGGACAACAAATTCCTCCTCAGGACCAGCAGCAATAAACCATTCCCTGCCAGAACCTTCTTCTCTACGTCTCTAGCCCAGCAGTTAGGCCCAGAAGCAGGTGGCTGCTCCTTGTGGTTAAAGGTGGAGTGAGTAGTTGCTAGATCAGCACCAGCCTCACCTGTTCCTTCTGCAAACTCCCACCTGGGCCCCAGGACATTCCTCCTACTGAGTAGAGCACATTCACACCTCCCAGGCCAAGCTGATTCTTACCCACCCCATCCAGCCCCACCAGTCTCCATACCCTGGGCTCATTTAGCTGTGGGCTCCTACCTTCACCACCATTCCCTCCACCACACTCCCAAGTCCCCCTTGTGAACCCCAACACACAAGATGCACTTCAAACCTTCTGTGCCCTCAGAAGGTCCCTGGCTGGCCCAGCTACTCCTCTGGTGTAGTCAGTGCTCCCACAGTATATGTGCCTGGGGAAGCCTTCTTAAACCCTGCCCACCACTGTCCACCCTGGGGCTGGGGAGCTCAAAGCAGAACTCTGGGGGATCCACTTAAGGGCAGCACAGGCCTAGTAGTGTGCCCCTGCCAGCGACCAGCACCCTCACCCTCACACCAGCAAACTCACCCAACGAAAGTGCCTCTGCCTTCCCAAACAGTCATTGCCCATTTCACAGGCAGGTTTTCTTCCACCCCAAGTTGGGGCAGCAGGATGCCACAGAACAGCAGCCAGGGCCCCAGGGCCCCACGACTCCCAGTAAGAGCCAGGATGCTCCCAGGATGACACAACAAGCAAAGGACAAGAGATTGGCTGGTTCCAACAGAGCACTGCTTGGTCCAGACCTGATGTGATACTAGGAATTCAGAAGAGGCGGTGAGGCTCCCCACCTCCCTAGAGCCAGAAGAGCAAGAATCTCCTCCTAGTGCCATGCTGGCTAGGGGTGGCAGAGAGGCCACAGAGCCTTCTCCCAGAGCCCGTGGCCATGCTCACAAAGGCCTACCATGAGTGGGCACTGTGCACTAAGGTTGCACACTGGAGAAGGGGACAGGTGTTGCTATCATACTCCCACAAAACCACCTGTGATCTCACCTGGTTCTGTTTCTTGCAAGTGAGGAGTCTAGGGCACAATACTTCCCTCTCTGTGCCTCCTACAAGGATGGAAATGGGTTTCACCTCGGCTACCCCTCAGAGTTGCTAGGTGAGGCTCAGATACCCTAGGAAGCTGTCAGGACAGTCGGAGTCCTGACCATTCCTGAAGCATTAAGGGGCTGCTCACTGTGAATGCCGGCTTGGCACACAATCGACTACTGAGGTAACACTCTTAAGATTCTCAAACCTGGGAGGGCAGGGGTTGTGTCTGTTCTGTGAGCTTCTGTGTCCCAGCAGTTACAGGACGGCCTCGCACAGTGGGTTTTCAGGCAACAGGGCTGGCACATGCCCATTTC